TCGCCACAAACTGGGTCGTACTGCATGGTACATATTTGTGGACATTTCCGACAATTTGTGACCGAAATCACAAAGGCGATGATCGCGAAAATAATTTTGTAACTCATTTTCAAAGAATTATATAAGCACTGGAACCCTTTTAATTGAATGTCTCAATCGAACTGATTCAATTACAAAAATCCAGCCGATATTTAAAGCAATATTTTGCTGACGCAAATGCTTGTTTTTATCACAAGCTGCGCAAATATTCCTGACAAATCAATAAAAAAAATAATTACAGACACTTACTTTCTTTTAACGCAGATAGAATCAACAGAGAATATACTTTCCTTTTCAAAAATAAAAATCGAGAAAAAAACATACATTCTCTTACGTCTCACGTATAGAATTGTAGAGTCAATAAGTAGCATTATCTAAAATACTTGAGTAATTTAGAATAACTTTACGGCACCAGTTCATGTGCTAGAAAAGGAACCAAAATCATCTCTGAGATGATTTTATTGATCAATATGTAAAAAATATCGTATTTTTCCTACAGAGCTTAACCTTTCATGTGAAATATTCATGAATTCGAGAAAAAAAACTTAACTCAAACGGAAGAAAGTCTGTTTGCGAAATCACATATTTGCATTAGAATTATGAATAAAATTGAAAGGTATTTTTTCATCTTGTTTCATTTAATCAGGTGTAAATTACATACAGGTACATACATGTATGTTTCTATGGACTCTATTTAAAATCTTTATCGACGAATGAAGTAAGTGAAGACAATCGGCTATGTTCATGTGTTCCTGTGTCCCTGTGTCCCTGTTTATTTGTCATTTTTGAATAATTTAAAACTTTACAAATCCTAATAAACTAAATCATTATATAACTAGTGATAACGAAACAGCTAACAAATGATTCATGTCCATGTCATTTCATGACGGGATTTCTTTATTGCTGCAAATTTTATGGCAGCGCAAAAACAAATGTTGCAATTATTTATTGTCACAGAATAAATTCCAAGTTGTAGTAAGTACAGTAGAGTGTAGTCTACATTCTAACGAAATGAAAAACGTCAAAGAGAACTTTGGTCGTAGCATATATCATTGGAGAAAGATACTTCCCTGGTTGTAAATAATTAATTTCGTTATTATTTGATGAGTTTTTGGATGAAACAAAAGCGTATGAATAAGTAAACAAATGTATCAAGCTTGGTAATATCTCATTCGCATTCTGAATGAGATAGAAATCACACGAGCGAGATCTTGCACGAAGAACCTGAGTGTATACTACTTTGAAATAACTCATTGTACGTACGGTGGGTTTTGTACCGATTTCTAACATTTAAAACTCGTTTAGAAAATAAACTGCGAAAATAAGTTTCCTCATACTGTACTGTCAATACGAAGAAACTGGGCGAATGAATGGAAGAATATCTAGAAAGAAACCGATTTGCCAATCAAATTTTTATTTTGTTTATGAATCATAAATGTGGGCTATCGTACGTTTTGATGCACAAACTGAAGCTGGTAGATTTAGCAGAGAACACCTACACGAGTATGATGAAAGCACCACTACTAATAAAAACCCCAAAAATTATGACTGAATTCATTACATCGGTTGAGTTTAGCTGTTTCCGCGATCAACCATCAGCCGGGCGCCTTTTAAAAACAAAATTTATAGCTTGCTGAATTTTTTTTATCAATGTATTTTATATACAGACTGTAGTATGTCATACACTGTATCTCATACTCATATGAAGCACGTTCGGCTTTGTTTCTTTAGAATTTAGCGAGAACAAAATATGTACTCAGCTTAATGATTTCTTTTGGTCAGAAATTGTCTAGTTTCTATAACTATAAAATAGGTGGCAATGTATGCAAAATGTTAGGTCTCCAGAAGATAAGTTGTATGATGATGAATTTCAGGTTTGACAAAATGGATTTCGAACAGATGTTTATTAAAGATTGACCGAATTTTTTTGATTGGGATATTCAAGTTTTTTTTAACGCGTGAACTAATAAGTCGGTTACGTAGAACAATTCTTCTCCAACTCGTTCGACACATTCGAGTGTTTGCACATTCTGTTCAAGAAGAATAAACCATGTGTTGTATGATCTACTCTACGACTTGTTTTAGCTTTGATTTGGCTTTGGCTTTGGCTTGCAAAAGAGAAACATTTTTGTTAATAGTTCTAACATGCTAAAACAGAAAAAATTTCCATCAAAATTTGTGTTTGAAAAAATCGAAGAAAATAGTTTTGAAAATCCTTTGATTTATGTCCATTCTGAGAAAAAAAAAAATTAGCAAGAATTTTTTTTTGAAAATCCTTCCAAAATTTCAAACAAAAATAAATTCAATTATTTTGGCAAAAAATCGTGACCGATCGGTACTTTAGCGCAATAAAAAAACGTATTATGCTGAAATTGAATGATTAAATTTTAGGAGAAACGAAGAGAAATGCGGACATTGTGAACGAGGCACTCGTGCCAAAGACGTTGAAAGCTCGATTGGTGATGCATATCGATTTTATCGAGTCTACTCATCGCAATTGTGATGTGGTTTTGGCTGCGGCTATTTTTTTTTAATGCGAAAATTTGAAATTTATGATTATTTCTAGTTCGAATGTACGTTATGCAGGAATGTTGTAAGAATAGCCCAATTCCATTTGTGCATTACGAACACAAAAATTGCACTCACAAATCATTCTAAATGCATTAATATTTAACAAATCCACTCAAAATTTATTCACCGCAAGACACAAGCCAAAGTAGACACATCAACAACACATGCCGAATGTCTAATTTCTAATGTAAAATTCATTGCATTGAAGAATGAGTAGTATTTAATTGCGAACTTGAAATGGTTTTAAAGAAAAATTTGGAATAATTTGGTTAGGAATTGAAAAAAAAAATCTATTTAAAGTAGTTTACAGACTAGCTTTGATTTTATTTATTGATATCCATTCGAAGAAAAAAAACGATGCGAAAATCACTAAACCCATACAAAGTACGTCTATTCATAAAAAACATACACTGCTGAAGCCTATTTAAAACGCCTAAATTTATGCAAATCGCTGTTAATCGTTCTATTCGCGTGTATGGCGTTAAATTTGCCAATTGCAAACATTTCATACAAATGGAGCTACAACGAGCGCAATCAATTAGAGTGGATTCAGTGAAGGAATGTGATAAAAGTACGGTACAATGAACTCAACTATTTCGGTTGCCAAATATTGCGCTTGAATTGTTCAATCGTTTCGTCATGACTCATGAGTAACGAAAGTTTAGTGTGAGCAATTGAATTCTATACATAGAATGAAGACGCCTACATGAAAACCAAATATTCTCATAAGGAAAATTGTGATTAATTTAAAATTAATAACACGTTGCTGAGAACGAGTTGTCACTTCCGAATAAGACAAAGGTGAGAGCATTGTGAGAGAGTTTCGATTGTGAAGTGGGATCGAAAGAAAGAAAGAAAGAAGGAGACCAAAAAATGAGACAAAGAAGGAGAAAAACGCACACAAAATTTTTATCACAATCAACAGGAAGCGTAAAAAAGACTTTCATCTCCTGTTCAGAGTCGATTAAACTGTTCAAATGAATCAACAAATTCAATTGCGCCGTTTAATATTTCATTTGCTTTGTTACGGAATTTAATCGTATTCAATTTCTTTATACCTAGCGGGTGATTTAAATTGTTCATTTAGAAATCCCAAAAAATCATTTATGAGATCAGAATTGGAAGCCTCGACGACAACCATCCATAAACAACATACACAGTCCCTTCCGTATTGAAGTAGAAGAAAGAAAAAAACCGAACCGTCACAAGTAAGAGACTGTACAAACATATAATTCTCGCATCAAATTACTTCATTACAGTCGATTATGGTAATGCGCGTCCGTCGGTTGTGTTGAATACAGCGTGCATTCCATTACACATGTTTACAACAGTGTTTGGTATGCAAGTGACTTGGTCGTAATGTTTATTTTGTGCATGTTATAATCCGTGCGGTTCGGAATCGATGTGTGTTTGTATGACTGTCTGACTGTGGGTAAATGGTATTTAGTAAACGAACACCGACGGCTTTGCTTATTAAATACGAGAAAAAAAACACTTTCGATTTTCGAACAGCTGTAGTAAAAACCCGCTGCACATTGGAAATATCGCTTTCCGCGAGAATGTATCACACTATGGCGAATTGTACTGCAATGGTTCATGGAATGTGTCAAAATCAAATCCATAAATTGTCTCATTCATAATGGCCGATTGATTTGGAATCATATCTACTGAGACGAATATTCAAACTATTTGTGAGAAGTGGTCTTTCAACACTATATCTCGTGCCTCTTCCGAAATCTCGTTGAAGTTGACCTTTTAAAGCACTCTATGGCTTGATCACGACATATTTTTTGCTGTGTCGTTATGAAAGAGCACCACAAAAACTGCACATAAAACACGTTTCTCACTTTGCGATGGATACATCACCAAAATTTCGGTGGTTTTTCAACGAAACTGGTCGACACTTTCTCATTTCATTATAAAACCCAAGTCGATTTGATTTGCGTTTTCCAAACACTCTTGAATCGCACTGATAAACATCATACTCGTAGGTAAACAACAAGACGAATGACGTTTTTCAGTTGAAAAGTAGGCAACAAAAACGAAAACACCCAGTAAATACGTCGTGCTGTGAATCTATACGAAGCCGATTATAAATAGTTTTTCGATTGGAATTGCAAGCACGGCAAGTGTTCTTAATAGAACAAAAACACACACGCTCCCATCGCACGCAGAAAATCAACACACATTGATTTATGGCCGTGAATGAGTCATGCCGATTGACTGAGTCTACACTGGCCTACACATAAAATTAGCCTGATTGAAAATCAATTGAAAGGTGGTGCATCGCATTTATCAGGCGAGAAAGTTCATTGCCACGCACACTCCTATTTAGCTCTCTCACACTCGGATGAGAGAATGGGAAAAGTGAACGGGATTTGCATTTTTACCTTGTTCGAAATCCGGCTGTTCCGTACTGAATATTTGTAGTCACTCTCTTTGGATACATTTCGCGTGCGAATGCATAAATAGTTCTCAAATTCACTGATGAAGACATTTTGGGTCGATGGTTTTCGTCGTTTCTTTTCATAAATTGCTTTTGGACACGGATATTTTTTCTTTCTTTTTCGACAGCACTGACAGTGACACCCACACGATAACAAAACACACACAATTCCTTCAAAATCAAAGCACAAAAACAATAATTTTTTTTTTGAATAAAACAAAACAAAATACAGTCGAGATTCGATTTGTATGTGACACAGCACACCGACGTACACTCAATATTGATGGACACGTTTCCACCACCGATGTCGAAAACTAACTGAACCGTCAATGGGATCGATTAACTTTTTAATGCGGTTGCAAAACACTCGATCGAAACACTCTCTATCAAAATTCAGTCAACCTTTTTTTTCTCTTCACTCCGCTCCCATTGACTTTGACTGTGTATTTGTTTGACATATGATGCAGTTTGAAAGTGTTTTTTTTACTGAATTAGCTCATATGGTCTACACTAATGTAGTGTTTATATAGTTTTGCTGAACCGAGTTTGACAGTTCGGCTTGAGTGTGTGTGCGTGTGTACATGTACACTTTACACAGTGAGTGGTGCGTTTACAGCACTGCGCGCGGAGGGGAATTAAGTTTGATGTTTCAATTTGAATGAATTGCTTTTATACAGGTTTTAGAATTGAGCTCGCTTCTTTCTTAGATCAAAAATGTGTTTTTATGGTAATTAGGTTTGATTTTGATAAAAGCTTTGAATTGAAAAAAAAAAACTTGAAGAAAATTAAAATGCAATTGAAACATTTACAAGTAACTAAAATTTTCCATCAATTCAACTTTATTTTAAACGAATTTATTTCCTGCTTGAAATACATTTTATTTATTCCCTGAAGCAAAATAGTTAATTTTATACACAAATTATCACAATTCAATTGTCAAGCGGTTTTACGTTGCATATCACTTGGAATTGCTCTAAGGCAAACGAGTATCCTGAAAAATAAAATTAAAATTAAATCAAGATTTTTTTTCATAATGGAAAATCTGTTTGGAGCTAAACTATGGACTTGAAAATTGAAAAAAAAAATCCAGGAAAACCTTATATAAAGAAAAAGTTTAGACCAAATTTATTAATGATTTTTACCTAGAAATGTGGCTGCATTTGTGGGTAGTGATCGAACCAAAATTATCCAACTGCCACGGAAAAACACTTTCCAACCATATTTCTGTGACAAATTGGGAAATAAACATGATCATAAATCGTTAATTGATATTCTTACAAATCATAAAAAGATACAAGAAATGTTTTTTAACCAAATAAAAAAACAAATTCAGATTTCTACAAGAGCTTCTTGTCATGTTCATAGAAGTATTAATTAAATTATTTTTAATTTACGGTACATCTCGATAGTTCCGATTTTTATATCAACATTAAAATGTGTCTCAACTGAATGAAGAATCACACTGAAATTGTACCATAGTGAACCAAATGAGTGATTTTTCCGAGATCATTCATTCAATTCTGTCTTGTGTCTAATAAAAGAGACATTTTTGTCGTATGAAGAAATGACAACTTACAAGAGTCTTTGCTTTGAATATTTGAGCCATACCACCATTTTTATATGGATTAGTTTCAGCCTGTACAATAGTTTTTATCACATCGAATGGAATCACCAGAATCCACGACATGAAACCTGAAGGAAAAATAATCGATTTTTAAGATTAGTTTACATCTCGACAAAAAAAAAATTCCCCCAAAAAATTTCCATATAAATCCTATGTATTATTCGATAAATCAGAAAGAATTTTTTCTATCGAGGTGTAAACTAGAATTTGAATAGAAATAAACAAATAAAATAAAAAAAAAACGAGACCCACCAGCAAAGGCTCCGGATAAAATAGGAATTGAAATGTCGATATATGTGTACTTTTTATCACCCTTCTGAAGATTCTTCAATTGCTTCCTTTTTTCTATGACCCATTCTGAGCAAGCAAGTGCTTTTGTAGCGTATTCATAAACCAACATATAAATTCCGTATGGGAAAACATCCCTAAGAAGAATTAAAATTTTAGCCAATGAAAAAAAATGACAACAACACAATTTTTTATTACAACGTAATATAAAAACTTTTAATGTCGAAAGAACAAACGAAATTGGTTTCCGGGATTTTTTTTTAACTTTTAACTACTTAGTTGTACGGAAAAAATTCCGACAAAAAATGAGAATTGAAACAATTTATGGTCAAAAACAATGATCAATTAAATGCCTCAATAAAATCAACGCGTTAACGCGTTACCATCAATTTAAAAATTCTTTGTGACGAATCATTACCGGCAAATCATTGGCGTCCATCCACGGTAGAATCCAATCAAACCTGCGTTACGATACACATTTTTGATGCACTCAATCGGACCTTGTTTTTCATAGCGCCGATAGAAATTGTAATCTAACTATTCAATTAAATGACCGTTTGATGTTGTTGAGTTGCGGAGAATTGTGTTAAAAATAGAATCAAAGCGACTATTTTTAAATGCGTCAAAAATGAAATACATCACAAACAAAAATGTACGGTGAAAATCTTACGATTTTGTGTTTGTAACCGGATTTTCACTAATTCAATGGGACAAGCGAAAAATGCATGAATGAGACCTGCGGTCGAGCCAGCTAAAAATACATTCTGTGCCCATTCATCGCGGCGTTCATCGTTTGTGGTGCAGATATTCTGCAAGCGACGAAGTTCATTGCCATAAACGCCAAACAAAATGGAATTCAAAATGCCACTGGACAGCATTGGGAAGGCCATTCCACGGAAAAAACCATTCAACTGTGGAGAATTGTACAGAAACAAAATCGAATCGATAGAAAGTTATGGGGGCAAATGTGTATGATGAATTATTATATTCCGTGTGCTGATTACTAACTCCATTGTTTTGTATGATAATGTCATAGACTGATTTGCGGATGCGTCGATTTCCAAACTGTTGCCATGTTTTTATCGTATCCAAAGGATGGCCCATCAAGGTTCCACAAGCACCTAGGAAATTTTGTTACGTTTCAACCACTTCCTGTTTTGTACATACACAATTTTTGACTTTTTTTCTTGGAAAACATACCACCAATACAACCCGCAATAAAATCGCAGTAAACAATCACCATTTTTATTCAGCCTATTCAATGAATGTCTCTTGAAATGAAGGAAAATAACGCAAAATTTGAATACAAAATGAGCAAAGATTTTCTTAAATTGCACTATTTCCGCAATTAAACTGAGAATGAGAAAAATAACGACGTGTGAATGGCGCCCGAATGCATGGCAAACGATCAAATGGATCAACAACGACTAATCGCAAACCGATGTCAATCCAACTCCACACGTAAGATCGATTCGTTTTAACTCATGTTCACCACGATTCATGGCAATTTGCCCATTTGTGCACCATGCGCATTCTAGCGTATGCACTATTTACATGCAGCTCAACGACATCATGTCGCGACATGACCGTGACAAATTACGTCTGCTGAAATGTGTGACAATCACAACAATCTTGCTTTGATTCAGACCGTTTCCTATGAATCGCGGCCGATGATTAAAGATTGATATTCAGCCATAATTCGGAAGTGAATGATTTCAGTCGCAGATCTCGTGCTCGTGGGAGAAAATTGAAAATATTTGTTTACTAAAGTAATCAACTTTTGGTTCATATTTGATATCGTTATATAAAATAGGCAAATTTTTTGATATTTTGGGTTTCATTTTTATTTTTCTTAATTTTTTTCGTTTTTTCTCTTTTAATTTTTAAATTTTCAAAGAAAAAACTATGTAATAAAAAAAATTGTGAAAAATGGGTGGAAAATCTAAAATTACGAGTTTATTGTTGATAAATTCAACATTTTACTTCAGCTATCTTTAATCCCGCCAGATTCTTCTATCATTTTCTTTATTTTAGAAAAAATTATGAAAAAATCCAAATTTTATTCAAAAAAATTCTAAATTATCCAAAGAAAAATTGTGAGAATTTTATAACGAGTCGTTATTAACGACCAAAAGGGCAGTGTCGTAGTAAGAGAAAATTAACACAAGTAATCATTTATTTGTTCAACAAATTGAGTAGTGAACTGCCATTATTGTGTTTTGATTAATGCAACACGGAACTAAAACAAAGCTAACATTCAACTCAAAATCCAAAATGTTGGCATTTAGCGCTAAGGAGTATATATTTCCGCACATCTTCACTCCTCGTAACGTGTAAATCAAGCAAATCAGCTGGATTCAGGAACATCGATAGAGGATGGTTCTGTTCAGGTCGATTGCATTTCAGGATATTTACAACTTTCAAAATAATTGCATCGGACACCTCTACATGGCACCAATGAATGTGAAGAACTTGCAATCGACTGGCAAAGCGTATAAAATCGACTAGCGTATTTTCAACAATCGCTACCGATCGTAGTGCAAACTCTTCCAAATGTGGCAATCGTTTAGCCAAATCAATTAATGATCGTTCATAGTCCATTTCGCCATCTTCCACTTCATCTTCGGGACGATAGGCATGCAGGCTAATTTTCCGCAAACCACCAAATGTTGCTAAACAATCCGTTATGCCTCTCAAGTGTTGATAGTCCAGTGTTAACAAGTTGATTTCGGACAAATGTTGCAGTCGGTTAACATGAACGAAATTCCATCCACCTAAGCTTGAGTCCACTGAATCCATGGTCAATTTCTGCAGCATTGTCAAACGGTCGGCCACCGTTCTCAGCCTTATATCCGCATCAAAAACATCAAATTCTAATGAAGTAAGGCGTGGATTTTGTTCAATGAACGACAAAAAGGTCATTGTATTCAAATATTCATTGTTCAAAACCGATAGGTGTTGAAGTCGAGCCCATGGTTTACAGCATTTAATCAGTCGCATATTCACTTTTAGCTTCAGCTCAATCAGATTTGGGCAAAGTACCTCAAAATCAACATCATTACCAAGATCGTAGTTAACATCGTGGATTTCCAACGATTCCAAATGCCTTAGTATCGGTGCAATGGTCAGTATCTGATTATCCTCGCAAATTAAACTGCTTAAAAATTGTGCCCGACGAATATTCCGTCCGATGTACTGAGCCAATGTTTCCAAAAATCGTGACGTTCGATTGAGATCATTGTAAATATTGCAGGTGTACTTCAAGTCCGTTATGTATGGCCCAATGCAGCGCAACGTTCGTCTCATTTTCGCCAGTGGCATCGAAAATGTATCGTTGAAATTGTACACTTTAAACTCGCGGATGCGAGGGAAACTATGCTGATTCAGGAGCTTTTGAAACAATTTACACACCTCAGATAGATTCACCATCGAATCGACATCTAAAAATTTGAACAGATGCAACAAACAGTCTTCGTTTAGGTTAAAAATATCAGATGTTTGTTTGATATCGTTCGAATTGGCCGTTTGGTTAGTATTTTCGGTTGGCTGCTCCCACGTGTCGGCTGGCTGAATGTAGAATGGCTGCTGCTTTCTGGCTTCACGGTCAAATTCATGCTGCAGTTGAACCAAATAGGCACTCTGGTCACTGTGAAAGGTTACGTGTGCTTCAAACTCTTTGTTTGGCAACAATTCGATCGATTCAATTCCACCGTATTTTCGAAGATAACGACGAATTTTATCGGCAGTGAACTCGGTGTGGGGCTGGATGGAAAAGGATAGAAGAGAATTTTAGTTGAAATGATATGTTTGGAATTAATAATAATTTGGATAAGCTATGCCGACTATTGCTTATTCGACTTGTTTTCTATGTAGAGTGACTCTCTCTTTCTCTCGGAGTCCGCATTTCACACCAGATGCACATAGATATGCATTGCACATTACTAAATTATTACACTTACTACTCTAATTGAATAAAACAAACGCAGAATTGAAATATGATCCAACAAAAATACTAACCACCACTTGAAAAGGTCCCGTGTTTAGTTTGATATGAAGCTTCCGCACTACAACAAATCGACTTTTGTCATAGGAATCCTCTTCATCAATCAATTTCCATACTATATCGTCCCAAATGAATGGCATCCTATGGATTTTCACTAGAATATACGACAAAAAATTGAATTTTTGTGATAAACCTGCTTAGGCACTGCTTAAAAGTGATATTTTTGTCGATAGAACTCGTTTGTTTACAACGTTAATGTCAACACATGTGAAACAAGCGGCAAGGCAAACTGTCAATCAGTTACAGTGGGGTATGACGAGTGCAGAGGGCGCTAAGCACATAGACATTCGTCCAACAGTTTTGTCTAATGTGAATTGATTTATGTGTGTGTGTGTTGTGAACGTTCGTTGAAGGGGAAATGAATTGTACAATTCGAATGAAATATCATTGGACAGTAATTTTGATTTCAAATAAATTTCTAACAAGTCTTGAATGAATTCAATTGTCTCTTTTAACTCCGATAAAAAAAATGTTCCAATTCTTGAATGAATATGATCGATCATTCAAAAATCAAGTCCTAAATGAATCAATTCAAGTAAAAGTCAATTCCAACACAAAACTCCACAATAGAAACAATAATATGAATTTATCAAATTCATAAAATTCGACTTCAGGAATGAAAGTTGATGACTGACTGACTTCCTCACTTAGATCAGCTTATACTCACCTAGATTTGTAGTGCAAATTCCATACACGAACGAAAAACCCCAACCAAAAAAAATTTCAGTCAAAAAATCTCATTTTGCAAAATTGATGATAATTTTGTTTATTAAATCGGTGCAAAGCCGGTATATATCGATTTTGAGAGCAAGTACATGTATCGAGTTTAATTTGTAATTAAACTCCGCATAAATTAATCAAATTTAAAAGAAAAATGAGAATTTAAACAAATGGTTCGATAGTTATTTCGAAAACGGCGCATGGATTTGTGAGTTCATAGGCTTGAAGAACGGTTGGATGCAGAACGCCAATTTTGCCAATTGTGATCCCTTTGTATTTAATATTAGCGCATCGTCCGGGGAAGTAGGCTGCATCTTCTGTTGCTTCCAAAACATAACCATTCTCACCTTTCCATGGAACCTCCAACAATTGCATGACTCGATCCAAAAGCCCATGAACGATTTCAAAACCGGCCGATTTGTTGCAGTTGACAGCAACGAGTCGTCGTTCGTTTCTTGCTCCAACTTCGGTGCTTTCATCAACCAATACCACATCTGAAATTTCGAACAATTTCAATGGTAGTGGCATTCGTTTGTTGGCTGCGACTGTTTTCAAAACGCCCGACAACAAACATGTACGAGCTACTTGGAACTCCAATGTTTTTGGGTTTCCGATGTGTACGGCTGGAACTTCTTCGATTTTCTTGCCTAATTTCGTTGAGATATCGTCACGGGAGCACAGCGAAAAGGTGAGCGCCTCAGTGAATCCAGCTTGAGCGACCTGTTCGCGTAGCTGTTCGGTCAATTTGTTCAATGGGTATTGACGGGCGAAATGCGTGAATTTCGGCAATGTTCGTTCGATGTTGTTGTAACCATAGCTGATGGCAACCTAAGAGAGTGGAAAATTGGAATGAATTTTTGATTTTTTTCATATTTCATTGAGATCCTTACATCTTCATACACATCACAAGCATGAATCACATCATGTCGAGTGGGTGGAATTTCCACTTCTAACTTTCCATCGGCTTTAATTTTTGATTTCAATGCCATCCGAGTCAATTTCTTGGCAATATCCTCTGGTGTCAGTTCAACGCCAATATATCCGTTAACCGCTTTTGGTTCGATTGACTCAACACGATACTCCAGCTCTGGATAAACGACCGTTTCACCGTTAGCATTGATCACTTCACAGTATTCAACCGATCCGGGTTTTGCACAATGTACCGAAAACATTGTAACCAGGGTGTCCAAGACGATTTTGGCTTTCGTTAAATCGGTGGCCGTGCATTCGATAAAAATATTCTTCGTGTTGACTGAGATCTTCGAATGATCACCGTTGATGATGGGTGGCAGTGATAAAACGGTATTCTTTGAATCATAAATCACTGGATAGACCGGTGAATCACGAATAATGGCCAAATATTGTTTCAACTGTGCATGCGTCGAATAGAAATCCATCAATTCAACGGCATTCATTGCCTTCGTTTGATTCAATGGAATGAATTTAATGTCGATCGGTGGTTTTGCATCATAGTAAAATGGTCCTTGGATGGTATCCAAATCATGCGTACCAATGGCAACCAAAGTCCGTTTACGGCAAATATTCTGATGCAATTTGTCTTGCAGTTCGATGAAACTGTCGTACGCATCCTTATCAAGTGTTATGTTACGCAGCACAGCTGCCACAGCGAATGGACGAATTTTTGCCGTATCAGGTAAAATGATCAATTTTTGCGGTGCTTTACCAGCCGGTGGATCGACACGAAGGAAACGCTCCGGTTGACGTGTACCTTGGAATATCAATAAAGCCGACACAAGACCTTCCAAACACAACAAATCATAACGGTTTGCTGGAATATCAATGCGATAGATTATCTCCTCGGATGCTGTTTTCGCCTCTTCGACGGCACCTTGTTCTTTGGTTAACATCTGCTTTTCCGTTGTCACCTCGTCCAATTCCAATCCGAAGGCGAAACACAACGTTTGGAACTCATCATCCGTGTACGTTTTGCCCAATGCCTCGAACAATAAATCACGTTTTATATTGATTGTTGGCATTTTTTCCACACTAGCCACACAGCACTAAATCGAAATGATGTAAATTGCCGTCACTATGAAAACAGAATGAACCAATTACACGTGAATCTGTTGCGGTTAGCTGTCACACAGTGGCAATTTGTCAAATTAAGCCGCGTTCGCAGTTCGGTACGCTGGTGGTGGGTTCACATGACCGAATGCCACTTGTTTGTTGTTTTGATGGGTCTTTGACATGTTTATTGGATGGAATTGAATTTTTAGGACTAAATTCCTTTTTTTTACTATGAAAAAATTATTCGCATAACGAGCTATAGATTATCTCCAAAATCTTTGAAAAAAAAAGTTTCGACGGAATTTTATTTTTTTCTTCATTCCAAAACCCCATCAAAAATCGTTATTACTTCGATCTGTTGTTCCACCTCTCGACTGTCTAACACATTCAATTAATGGCTCATTTCACGTAACAGTGTATCGAAATGTCAAATTACGATGACTGTATGGCATCGTACACTCATTCATTGGGGTGTGACATTCATTAGTTGCTCAGTGTTTCGATCGCAAGTGTTTTGTGCCTTACAATTTTTTTTGTCGATATTTTCACAAATTTTCGTTTTAGTTTCAAATGTTTTTATTTATGCATCGCAAAAATGTTCCATGATAATGTTATAGCCGCTGTGTGTATTTTGATTATTTCACCATTTTGTATCGGTTAGTATGAAACATTCCACGGAATTCTCTATGTTTTGTTTGCTGTTATTGTTGGGTGTACGATGTCAACGCCCAAATTGCGCTGATTAAATTTATCGCGTATAAACAAAAACATTGTAATTCGGATGAACAAACACCGCGATTGATTAAATTCTGAAGCAAATGTGATGGAAAATTGGGAAACAATTCAAAAATGGTGCACGAAATCAATTTTTAATGGAGTCTCATTAGACAATGTTTTGTATGTGTGCGTGTGTATGCGTGTTTGTTATGTCTGCATCATTACGACACTAATGCACTTTAAATTACACTTGCTTATCATGTCTATCAGAATTTGGACTGTGCGTGTATGCGTGTGTTTGTATGCATTAGAATCGATTCGGTGCTTCGGAATAACAAAAGTATACACGGGATTTCTTTGGATATATTTCAATATTTATTGACATGACACATGAGTTACGATGGTTTTATTATGTTGATAATGGACTTTTATAGTGAATTTATTTCTATTTAAATTATAGTTTTACCTTCAACTGTGTTATACACAAACAAACATCTTCACATTATTGGAAACAGTTTTAGCCCTTGAAAATTAGTTTCTGACATTTTTGTTTAGGATTTTGTGTGAATAAAAAAAATTCGGGTTTTTCTAATTTTTGCCAGACAAAAATATTGAACAAAAAATTGTCATCAAAATATGTGTTTTAAAATTATTAAAAAATGAGTTTCAACTTGAATTGAAACTTTAAATTTTGTGCCAATCAAAACTGCCAAAATGAATTAAAAAATCTCTTATACTCAAGACCAAAAATAACCTCTTCCTTTTCCTCAGGTCAATATTATGAAGTCGAACAAACGAAGTTGGAAAAATTTGTGTGGTGTACAACAAATGAACCGGAACAGTACAAATGCGGTAACTTTACGATGGCCCTCGAGCGTGATCGTGCATTGTTTGACGATAATTACATCAATGTAACGTGTCACCAAGCCTTTTCAACGGAAGAATGCATTCAGTTGATTGACACGGAAAAAGCGCATATGATGTCATTGGACGCTGGAAATGTGTTTATAGCCGGTCGTTATCATTCGTTGATTCCAATCATGCAAGAGAGCTTCGATGGTGGATTCGTGAACTACTATTCGGTTGCTGTTATCAAGAAAGATACCATACCTGAAGTGACCTCAATTCGTGACTTGCGCGGAAAGAAAGCATGCTTTGCTGAAGTCGGCAGTCAAGCCGGTTGGACTATTCCAATTCATACGGTAGGAAAAATGAGCTTTGAATTTTTTTTGTATAACATTTTGTTTAGTTCAGAAGAAATTGTAGAAAATTTTGATGTAAAATTCCATGAAAAAACAATTTTTTGGGGGAAAAATGAAAATTTATTTGAAATTGGTATCTATTGATACCAATTGACTGTTATACCAATTCACTGTTGATGAAAAAAATAATCTAATTCACAGTTACAACAAGAAGGCGGCATGGAAATCATCGATTGCAACAATCATGTGAAAAATGCCATCAATTTCTTTGGCGAATCTTGTGCTCCGAACTCTTTGATCGACAAATACAATCCAATTGGTGACAATTCTGATAAGTAAGACTATTTATTTGAGAAGAGACGAAACAAAATTTGGGACGATGAAAAATATAACAAAATCGAATATTTTGAATATACGTCGTAGATGTCTTTTTTAATGACAAAAATATATTTTTATCAACAAATTTTTTAACATTTTTTAGATTATGCGCTCTTTGCACTGGAAAAGTGCCCGGCGGTAAATGTACACATCGAGATCCATATGCCGGTTTCGAAGGTGCTTTCAGATGTTTGTTGGAAGCCGGTGAAATTGCTTTCTTGAAACACACGACCGTTAGTGAAATGATCAACAGCAAAGAATTCCGTAAGTTTGAAAGAGTCCCAATAATTTATTAAAGATTCGAATCAAAAACCCAATCGGTTAAAATCAGAATCGTGTGTGAATTTGGACAAAACTTCGAAAAAAATTTTTTTTTCAATTATTCGCTTTGATATTCATCCCATTACATTCTTCTTCAGGTTCGGCGCATGCTGATCGTTTTGAATTATTATGCCGAGATGGTTTGAGACGTCCACTATCCGAATATCGTCAATGTAACTGGGGTCTTGTCCCATCACATGCCTTGGTCACTTCATCAGCTCGTTCATCGCAAGAGCGAAAACATTATCAACAATTTTTGACACGAGCCGTGCAACTTTACTCCACTAAACCTGTTCAAAATTCAACCTTAAACGACCGCCGCTACGAAGGTTACAATCGATTCGACACGAACAATGATAATGACAAATACTACGACCAAAAGTATTTGCAAGAACAGAACAATCAAGGAGGTCAAAATTCATGGAATCCATACGAAACAAACAAAGGTGGTTCTGGTAGTTCTGGTGGTTTCAGAAGCAATTTAGATAGTAGTTTTACCACTGAACGCTCACGCTTTGATGACAACACAACGCAAACCTATGAGAAATTCGAAATTTTCGAATCGGAACGCTATGGCGGTCGATTGAATCTTCTCTTCCAAGATGCAGCTCGGAATTTGGTGCCAATCAAAGAAGACGATCAAAGTTTTGGCGGCTATTTGGGCAGTGCACTGCAACAGATTCTGGAAGTTCGTCAATGTCCCGTGGGTCGAATGACTTTGTGCGTCACATCCGATGCGGAATTGGATAAGTGTATTAAGATGAGGGTGAGTGGATTTTCTTTTAACTGAATTTAATTTCAATTTTTTTGTTCAATTCAAAATTTTGTTCTATTAATTTCTTTCAGACTGCTTTGAAAGCTCAATTGATCAAACCGGAAATGAGTTGCTTCAAAGGACACTCGCACATCAATTGTATGCAATCGATTCGAACGGGTATTGCTGATGTTGCTGTTCTGGATGCAAGCGATGTTTACACCGCTGGATTGCGTTATGATTTGATTCCAATCATTTCGGAGGTGTATAATTTGGGTGAACCAGAATATTACGTGGTGGCTGTGGCCAAAGAAGAGGATCCATCAACGGAGTTGACATACTTGAAGGGGAAATATACGTGTCATCCGGGTATCAACACAGCTGCCGGCTGGGTGTATCCAATGGCTTATTTGATTTCGAACGGATGGATTCGACCATATGGTTGCGATAGTGTTCGAGCAGCGGCGGAATATTTCACCAAATCTTGCGTGCCAGGTGCCATTAGTGGCGAATATAACATTGGCGTTCCATATGACAATCTATGCGATTTGTGTCATGGAACTTCTTACAGGTAAGAATACATTAAAATTCACAATTCGACGAGATAAAACGCGTTTTTGAATAGAAATAAGACTAATTTATTGATGATTATTGCAGATATTGCCGTCGTGATGCATCCGAAGATTATTATGGGCACACTGGCGCCTTCCGTTGCCTAGTTGAAGGTGGTGGCGATGTAGCCTTCGTCAAGCATACAACAGTCATGGAAAATACCGGCGGAAAGAGAAGAGAATGGTGGGCTCGAAATACACTGAATGATGACTTTGAACTCCTTTGTCCAGATGGTACGTTGAAATTTGGATTTTTTTTTCTTCATTTTTTACTTTTGTTTCAAATTTTTATTTTTTTCCCAGTTCAATTTTTCTGAATTGTTTTTCAATAATTCTCTCTCTTCTCCCCCCATTGCAGGTACTCGACGTGATTTACCTGAGTATAGAAACTGTAATTTGGGCAAGGTGAAAGCGAATGCAGTAGTTACACGCGGCGGAGAAGGCTTCAATGAAACTCAAATCAATGCATACATGAATCTCTTTACCTATGCTCAACAATATTATGGCCGCAAAGATGCTGACGCCTTCAGTTTCAGTATGTTCTACTCGATGCCACCGTATCATGATCTTATTTTCCAAGATGCAACCCAACAATTGCAACCGGTTCCACACTCAAAACGACGCTACGACTTGTATTTAGGCGGTGATTTCATGCGTGCCAAACGCATTACTGATTGCGATGCCGGAGCTATGGCTCACAAATTCTCAATAAGTCTGGCCATCATTGTTCCATTACTCGTCGCTTTTACATTCACACACCTTTGAACATTAAGCAGGAGCAAAAAGCAGCCATTTCGATTAAAATTTAAGTCAAAACTGACAAAAACCAAATTGTGCAACTAAATAAGTGCTAACACACAAATTGCTCAGAATCTAAATGCTATGGATGCCAAGTATCCGTAGTAAATTTCAAATTCCGTCCAATTTTTTTTTTAAATGATTCACCGTAGAAAACTTGAACAGAACTTTTTAGTCACTGCGAATTTTATCGCACCGAAATAACAAAAAAAAAATCGACCATTTACCACATTAAATGTAAGACATTATGATCGACACTAATTGTGCAGCTTGGATTTATATTTTAAATCGTTAGATTAAGCCGTAATTTCCGTCCATTTTTTTTCGACGTCTTATAAATGAACTGTTTACATAAAGTGTAGAAAATCAAAATATTTCTTTTTTATATTAGAAGACGCGGTTTTACAAGAAAGTTTTATAGCATTTTTAAACCATTTTTTGATGTACAAAAATGTTCAACATTCCATTTCTTTAGTAAATTAAATAGAAACTTTTAAAACGTACGTTTGTATGGATTTGTATTGATATTTTTATTTTTATTTTTATTTAATTTGTTTTTATTTTATTTTATTTTGAATATGTTTGATTAATCAGTATCAATTCCACTCGAGTCATCTGATTCATCGTCAGAATCATTATCGTCGTCGTCATCATCATCGTCATCACTGTCGCTGTCTGATCCACTTTCCTCACTTTCCGACTCCATCCACTCACATGCTGCTAAATCTTGCTTGATTATCGTTTTCCATTCGTCTAACTTGTGCAAATCTGGAAAATACACAGGAGAACACAAAATTTGTATTACAAATACTTAGTTTGGTTTGAAAATTGGAGTAGAAATTATAAACTCCACCAAATTGAAAAAAAAAATTATGAAATTATACTTTTGTATAAAAATCCAATGAAAATTTTAAAAAAACTTTTGATTAAAAATTACGGTTAAACGTTTAAAAAATCACAAAAATTAAGAAAAATGTTCCAAATGTGATTTTTGTAAGAAAATTGAAAACTCTATCATACCCAATGAATAGAAATCGTTGAGCGTGTATTGTTTAGATCCATTCTCGTACTCTCCACCATACAGGTACAGTGTTCCTTTGCAAATAGCCAAGCCTGGCTTCATGCGTGGGGATGGTACGTTATATGTTTCGGACTTTGGTTTAGATTTCACTTTTGGATTCGATGAACTGCCACCAACGGTTATTGTAAAGATGCCATCAGAAGAGACTGGTGTTTGGAAAAATTGAAATAAAAATTAAAAAAACCATTTAAAATATTTTTAAAATTTTTGAATAAACCATTTAAAAATTTTATAAATTTGTTTTCGTACTATTTAACGAACTAAAATGAATTGAATGATACTAAAAGTTAAAACTTTCGAAAAATTAAAAAAAAAATTCAGAAAATAGTAGAAAATGGCAAGAAAAACCTTGAGTTGAAGTTTGTGCATCGGCATCAATGTCCATATCTTCTGCGTCTTCATCTTTGGATTTCGATTTATCCTTCTTCCCTTTAAGCTCAATCAAGCGCCAGGTCGGATTGGCTAGTTCTAACAAGTGCATTTCGTTGCTGTACGAACCGTCGAGGTTTTCTTCATCTTCATTTACATCAAGAACGCCACCAAAGATATAGCCTTTACCGTTTGGAGCGACTGTTACGTTCACACCACTTCGTGGAGCTGGTCGATGGCCACCGGGCTTAACACTTGACCATTTCCATTGCAAGCCAGTTGCGTCGTTTTCTGGTTGATGTCATGGAAAGTAGAACAGAAAAATTATCATTTTACAAATTATCCACAAAATAATTAAAATTAGTTGACATTTTAATAGACCAAGAGCTGTTGAACAAAGTACTATAAATACAAGCTTCATGTCAGATAATGAAATTGTGGGTGCATATTAAGGCCAATATTCAAAATATCATATTGTTTTATCTTCATTTGATACGCGTCATAATATCTGCTCGCCGATAACAAGAAAAAAAATTGCTTCACTTTTCGCTCAAGCTTTATGGCAGAATTTTTGTGTACTGATAAATTCGTACGAGAATAATTCAAACACAAAAAATCTTCTCCAAACATTGTACACAACATTTTTTATTTCATATCAAAGTCTCATTCTAGTCAAAGAAGTGAGGTTATGTGTTTGTAATGCATTTTATCCATTTTGACATGATTACAACATAACCTCACTTCTTTGAATTGAATGAGACTTTGATATGAAATAAAAAATGTTGTGTACAATGTTTGGAGCAGATTTTTTGTGTTTGAATTATTCTCGTACGAATTTATCAGTACACAAAAATTCGGCCATAAAGCTTGAGCGAAAAGTGAAGCAATTTTTTTTCTTGTTATCGGCGAGCAGATATTGTGATGTGTATCAAATGAAGATAAAACAATATGATATTTTGAATATTGGCATCAATGTGCACCTACAATTCCATTATCTGACATAAAGCTTGTATTTATAGTACTTTGTTCAACAGCTCTTGGTCTATAATGAAAAATTTTTGTTTAAAAAGAAATTAGAAAAAAATTTAACTCACTCTCAGGCGTTAGAGCGAACATGTCAGCATGTGTGACTCCTCTTTCAATTTCTTTTTTGACCGAAGTCTTACTATAGCCACCCCAAACCAATATTTTGCCATCTGGCGTCGCCGCCATGCAGCCAGCGCTACGTGGAGCTGGAACAATGGATCCTTTTGCATTAATGCATTGCCATTGATACGATTCCAATGAGAAAATCCAAACGTCATTGTAATATTTATACGAGATGCCCGTATCATAAAAGCCACCAAACACAAACAGTTTCTTTTTGTGTGCGATCATTCGATGGCCACTTCGTGGTGACGGACCAGTTTGTGTGACGACTTTCTCCCATTTGCGTGATGCAATCCGGAATACCCATAAGTCTCTGTAGTGATAGAATTGCATTTGAGATGGTGTCGAGTGTTCACCACCAAAAAGCTGGAAATAATTCGAATTTTCATTGAAAATAATTGTTGATTGGTTGTTGAAAATTGAAAGATTGACTTAAAAAACCATTGGAAAAGTAGAGTCTTCACTGACAATATCAAGGAAACGTTCCGACAACTTCTCTCTTCCAAAAAAACCTTACCCATAATTGTCCACCATCTGAAGCAACCGAGACCATTTGATGTGCTGACCGTGGTCCTGGTCCTGCCGGTGCCATCACCAGTTTCCATTCATTCTTCGGAATGTTATAGAAATACAATTCATTGTAAACGGCCAATTTTTGTCCGTCAAAATGTTCTCCGCCAAACAAAATGAGCTCTTCTTTATCTGGATGTGCACAGAACGAGAAATTACTCCTTGGCGATGGGGGTGGAACTACAGTTTCCGTAACAGTTGTTCTTCTTTGTTCGTTTGCTTCAAGAGTTGCGACAATGTTCACAATGTCATCCTGAAATTTAATGATATTTTCAATATTTATGCACAGATTTGAATAGCGGCAAATGAATCCTAACCTCTCCAATTTTCTCCAGTAACTTTTTCTGTTTGGCCACCAATTTTTTGTCCGTTTTCATGGTAGTCTTTTCGGCTCCCTTTCCTTTCTTCTTATTTTTATCCTTTTTACCCATTTTTACGTGATTTTTTTTTTTGCTTTACAATCGGCGATAATTCAACTATAAACAATTCCTGACCTCTGTTCAAATGTGCTCTCTGGATGATGGAATGTCAACATGCATATTTTGACAGATGTGTCTACCGTATATTTGACGATTTGACGATTAATACGTATGAGCTTTGACAGCCTTTGTTTATGTGGGAAAAATGAAATCACATCGAAATGAGACCTTTCTCCATTTGAAATATTGAAATTTAAAAATAAAAACGAAATTTTCTTGGTTTTCTCTTGCTGAAATAAAAAATGTTGACCAATTTTAGAATTTCAGAATACCCAAAAACAAAGCAAATTTCTTGTTTCAAGTCAAATAAAAACCAATTTGACTAAGAATATTCATTGTTTATGGAAGTGGTTTGTCTAATACCTTCAATTTCGGTTAGATTCAAGTGAAATTCGGTGTTTGACCTTGAAACTTTCACTCTCTTCTTTCGAAGTAGTTTCGATTATTTTTTGTTTTTTTTTTTTAAATAAATGTATGAAGAACATCATATTATGAACATATTTTTTATATTTTGGAAAATATATAGGTATTTAGCTAATAAGCTATATTTATCAGGATTTTATTTTTGTTCCTTTTTAGCACGTGAACTGGTGCCGTAAAGTCATGTTTTAATTACTTAAGGGTCTGTGTAGCTCAATGGATAGAGTATCTGACCGGCAATCAGAAGGTCCGTGGTTCGACTCCCGGCATAGGAAAGATGCAAATTTTTCCTCTTCTTCTTCGCTTCGAATGAGTGTTAAAAGAGAGAAAAAATTGGCATTTACTCCATACGATACGTTTCGGAATTTTCACTGAGTATTTGCTCGTAGTATTCGCTTGGCGAATTAAGCAAATTAAAGCAATTTGAATCGTTGCGATTCTAAACATTGTAGAGTCAAAAAGTAGCATCATCTAAAACCCTTAAGTAATTTAAGCTATATTTATATTCGACATATTGGAAATTCAGTACAAAACAGAATTATTCAAAATCACAGTCTAAACACAATTTACCATAATAGTAAAAAAGAATATTCCATTTGTCAAAATAATGTGCAGCATTCATAGCATTGCTAGATTAACGGAAATGACGCTAGTGACGAAACAAATGAATCCAATTCAATTAAATTTCAAATAAATTAATCTTATGGAGGAATTGTAGTGATGTGATGAGGTTACACACTAATTGCTTTATACTGATAAGAAGACAAATGTGACGTCGACGAAAGAAATCAGGGAAGTTGTTAGATTATATCATAAAGATAAAATTGCTATCCAAAAATTGAGTTCAATGCTAATGAAGAGAGAAAACAAACAGACATGGAAGCGTTTTTATATAGAAGTTTATGTTTTCATTATTTTTTTCCACATCATTTCACCTCTATAATTCAATGAATTATTAGCTTATCATCTAATTTTCACTTGTCACATTTTTAATCACTGTTTATCCATATGATCTGAGGTGGATGACCTTGGCATCTCTTACCTACAAACGAAAATATGTAATCTCACAATTTATAACAAATGTGTATTTTTCTCCGTTTGTAAATAAACTCCTCCTCCACCTCCAAAAAAGAAATGACTGTGAATTAGGAAAACAGCGGTGAAATTAGCAAAAATTAAATTGATTCAAAATTTTAATGTATCAAATGATGTCACTCTTCCAATTTTCGAATATTTCGGGTCAATTTCTCTATTAGCAAAAAAAAAATTCGATCCCGAAAAGGTAAACATTTGAACGTTTATTTGTCGTGTATGGAGTTTATTCGGATATATATTTATGATGAGCATTGAAATGGAATGAAAACATATTTTTAGTCGACGCCAGACGGTCAAACTCGAACATTCGAATCTTTTTTAAATAAATTGTTAAAAATTTAAATTTAGTCATAAAATGCATAAATTAGTGCGGCTGCTGGTTGGAACATTTTTAATCGTAATTCGATTCAAATTTCTGGCTAATGCCTTAAGGCATTGCTGCATGGGTAATAAAGAAAAGTTTTGCATCGCTCAAAGTGACTCAATTACACATTGTGTAGTAAAAATATACCGGAAAATTTTCCACAGCACTTCAACCAAAAATAATTATTCCGTTGGTGACCAACGGTTTATCGGTTTGACAAAACCCGAAAATTGAACTCAAAAATGAACTGAAAGCCGGTTGAACAATGATTTTTCAAATGTTTGTAACAAGTTCGCAAATTTTTTTTTTCTTCTTTGATTTATATTCGTTGAATTCCGTGGAGTGTTTAACGTCCAAATAAACCGGTTTCAACTGCTTTAGTCAAAAATTGATTCGATTTGCTTAGAGATGAGTTCAATTTCTTTTGGAAGAGAAACAATATTTTATGAAGTAAAAAAATTGAATTCTTTTGCCAAAAATCAATCGAGAATGCATTAGAAATCCGTGAAAAAAATCCTTTAATTGGTGCACACATTCTGGTCGTGTATCAAAAATTCTGTTTTGTTAAAAGTGCACGAACGACGGAACCATTAATGACCAAATGCAGCGCAACGGCTAATAAATGGAACACTTTCTTTTGCGCGATGCCGCGATCATCGTTTGAGAATCAAAACAACACACCTTGAACTTGTGGGCATTGCATCCATTTATGGTCAATTAAAATGTACGCGACATAGCGAGCACCGAAGAAGACCACCACCAGCAACAACAACAATGCTCAACAAAACATCTGCATAGAAAAGAAGCGGCCGATAATAAACGAATGCCGATTTATTACGATCGTTGGAAAGAAAAGAGTCTTTTGTTTCGTTCAACAAGTTGTCGAACAAGAAGTGGTTTTCACACACAGTCGGGTTCATGTGTTCTATTTTTGGCTCTGAAGCCATCGAACTGTTGAACGGCATATAATAAGCGATGCACGACGCTCCGATGCTTATTCAGCTTAAAGCCATTGCCGTGGATACATTGTTTAAGGAATATTTATTCTCGTACCTTTCTTCATTATGAGATTGGTTAAGTGGACATTTTTCGTGGTTTTATTACAAACGCTGCATTTAGTAGCGGGTGAGTGAATTTAGACGAAATGAAACGATAGTGATTTTCTTTATTTCAAATTGCGTATTGTGATTTTGATTAAAATTTGTGTATACGACATATATGTGATGTATCTGTTTCTTTTGTCGCAGGTCTATTTTACTTTCCAAAAGTTAAAGTTAGCTATTCACATCCAAATGCACGCCAAGATACCGTTGAATGTGAACGTGAAACAGTAACATTTAATTCAAGTTTTATTGAATTTATGCTCGCCTTCCTTGGGGTCGATCAAAGTGAATGTGCCTGTGATGATGATTTGTGTCCGTCAGTGGGGAAATTTGTAAAACTCTACATTTATCGTGCGTATGTTAGCAATTGGACTATATTCAACAGAATCCTTGGTGAAAATCTGTGCTTTTTTTATTTATAGAGAGACTAATAGCTTCCAAAGACTTTTCTCCAATGGCTCGAATGCATATTTGATTGATCGTAATCGACCCACAACCGTTTTTGTCCATGGATTTTCGGATAGTTTTCAATCAAGAAAGAATTGTGAGTACATTTTCCGTTCGTTGGACAGTCTTACTTAGACTCGGAACTAATAGTTAGTTCAGCTAGATATTAAAGAGCGAATTGAATAATTATCCAATGGGCATTGGGCAGTCTAGCCTAGACTTACTACTTTTTCTTTGAAATAAATCCAATTTGCGTGACACGCTTTGAAAGTTGAAATTTTTGATAACGAAAAAAATTGGAAAAACTAAATATTTACTGTGCACTTGTCTAGCATGGAACAATCAACTGTCTCGGATTGAATCTCGTGTATTGAATCGTAATGCAATTACATTGGATTGGGGCAAACTGTCACGGTGTCCATATCGACAGGCAACCGAAAACATCGTACCCGAAGTCGGATACCAATTGTACAGATGGTTGAATAATGTGCTAAAATTGGATTTGCGAACTCTGCGCTGCGTTGGACATTCACTGGGAAGTCATATATGTGGCTATGCAGGTATTTATCACGTTTTCATCACTCGCGTAGATTGTTGTCCGTGTTGATGTACAATTATACACTCCATATTATTCCATGCAATTTAATTAATTAAAAGAACATTCTTTGCTTATATAGGTGCTGCATCGGGAGGTCAATTTGAGCGTTGCTTTGGTTTGTATTGCACTTGATTTATGCATTGAATGTAAAAGTCTTGAGCTAAAAATATGATTCATTATCACGGACAAGTGATTGGCCTGATGGACAAATGATAATTGATTCTTGTTTCTTTTCACTGTTATTCTAAAGGTTTGGATCCAGCGGGCATTGGATATTCCATTGATTATGATGGGCCGCCACGCGGACTGAACCGAACTTGTTGTCAATATGTTCAGGCGATTCATACTGATACGACGATTGGCTCGCGACAAGCCATGGGTCACGTTGACTTTTTCCCGAATAATCAAACTGGTATCCAACCACACTGCAACATTCAAGCCACGGGCTGCTCACATCAATCAGTCGTCGAATATTACAAGGCCGCACTCGATCCAAACAATTTATTCATAGGAACTGCTTGCGGTGAACTATCCCGATCGAGCCCCGGTGCCTCATGCAGATTTGGTGCGCATACCACAACCGATTGTAGAAGTGGTTCATTTTGTTTTGATACTTCGCCATGCGCTCCGTACACATACTTAATCAGCTAGATTTAGAATATTTTTTAAGACAATTTCCATTTTTCCCATGCAGAAAATATAAATTATTTATTTATTTCAAAAATTGGAGTGGTTTTTATTTATTTTGGAATGAGTTGTACTCTAACATAGGTATTTATTACATTTAAAAGATCTTCGATTTGATTACACTTGAACAGGAATTTCTTCGATGGTGAGAGTAAGAACACCAAAGAAAAAGACATGTTTCGAAATTGTCACGATAACACAATATTACAGTTCAAGACGTCAAAGTCTATGTGACCAAATGAGATATAAAATGTTGAAAAATGTTGTCATTTCTGTTGTGAGAATTAACTCTCCTTCATAAAGTTTAATTTAATATTTCAAACTTTGAATCATTTTTTTTCTTCATTTTTTTAAGTGAAATAAAATAGGAAACCAATCATTCCACTTACTCAGCAAACAGCATCGGCTCTAGATTTTGTATTATACAATAGAGTTCAAAAGTGTAATGCATTTAGTAGAGTTTGCGTTATATTGAAATGCCTTGTTCCAATCACCCGAATATTTGAATTCGAGCATCATACTCAGGACTTGATCCATCCTTAATGTTGCATTGATGTGACACTTTCGGAATTGTTCAATTGGAATACGAGCCGAACGAATGACCATGGCCTTAGTCAATGTCAATGGGACTTTGTGGTATCGATTTACAAGACCGCTGATGACATAGTGTTCGTCTGGATTGTATTCGCATAGTATATTTGGTGTGAGCCGGGCGTGAATGGAACTAGTTTTTCTTTTGGAAAAATTTCTTCAATTGGTTCGTCATGAAATTGAATGGGCATTGGGCAATAGTTTATGGCCAAACGATGGAATGTACCTTTTCAGAAACGACGATGTATGCCACACACATGAAGCACGAATGGTTCACGATGGCTACGATTCAAACGAAAATAGTGAACCAAAAACTGGGCCAACTTGTCTTTCTGGCGATCCGTCATTTCTAATGTGTAGCCACAGTTAAGAATCATTTTTGGATAGCCTAATGCTGTTCATCATATTGCTCTGAAATTAAGATCGAATTAGATTTCAATTGAGTAATGCATATTCAATCATATAAATACATATGTGTCGCTGAGCATAAAAATGGGAATACAGATCTGCTATATCAAGAATCGAATATGAAAAATTATTTCGTAAAAACGCAACATGAATCTCCAGTCGGCATGAATGGAACATGAGCTGCGGTTACTACAGTATTCTTATGACGCGCTTCAGTGTGGCGCAAATTCATGTTGCGTTTTTACGAAATAATTTTTCATGTTACGTTCTTTCGCATATTGCTTCTTTGTTATATTTCTCCGATTGTTCTGTTCATGTTGCATTTTTCAGTTTGATTTCATTCATTCATTTACCAAAGTGATTTCGATGTGCCGAAAATACCAATGGATTTTGCACACAAAATACTATATTAATCCGTCAATCCTTGGTATTAATGCATTTTTGCCCAATCTATATTCAATATGCTTATATGCATCAACTGATTGATCACCGTCTTGCTGAAATGTTGCCGTCTGTGTTGGTATTTTACGTCGAATTTGGTTTTTTATCTGTAGAAAATTCATTAGATTGTTTTCAATTTTTTTTGTCCCTTTTTCTGTCCCTTTTTCTGTCCCTTTTTCTGTCCCTTTTTCATCAAACTTTCATACTATTCCATCCAATTAAAACGGTTATCGTAAGTCAATTCAGCCTATTCATGCAATTTATCGAAAAAGTGAACTTACAAGGTCCACACTAGTGGAATGGTGCTTTTTGTACAAATACCAGTAATATTTTTGACGCTGATACTGCGACATCGTTAGAATCATTCTGTAATCCCATGTAGTCAAACGTACCACCTTCGACACTGATTGATTTTCAACATTTTTTAATGCCAACTGAGGAAGGAAAAATGAAGAAAATCGTTTTCTTTCAGCAAATTAGTGGGTGATTTCGTATTGAGCGATTCACCATTTACCTCATTCTGAATGTACTGTATTCGCTGTTTTTGTGCCTCATTCAAAGTTTATATCCAATCTTCGAAACTTTCTTCCGCCCGTGAGCAACACCGAATTTGGTCAATCGGAAATGGGAATTTTGTCACCACACTTTTTATATATCCAACGATAAATCGCGTTCGGAACAATGTCATTTGCATCATTCGCAACATTTTTACGAAAATTTCAATGCGATTGATATCACTCAAATTATTTGAAAAAAATTTGTTGTGGAATTGGGTTCGTATCAACAAGAAACGCATGAGAAACGACAAATCAAAGACAGCTTGGTGTTTGACATTTCACCGAATCAGACACTCATTATTCAGAAAAACCAAAACTTTTAATTTGCAGCTTTTTCGAACAGGAATTCACATGCAAAATATTCGGAAGTGTCAGCGACAACACCACACGTCCATTCGAAATGTCAAGTATGAGCTGATTGCTTTTGCACCATAGCCAAAGCGTATTTCCAAGCCATCATTCGTCAACGCAACACGTTCACTCCAACATTGAAATTACAGTACGCCCTCGTAAATTAGAACTCGGAGAATTAGAATTCCTCCGAAATTAGAAGTGAATTTCGGGTTAGAACATTTGTATGGAAAAATTCTAATTTAAGAGGTTCAATTCTAATTTGCGAGGTTTCTCATTTTTGCTTGAATTTACATGGAACATAAACCGAATATCGTATAAAAATATAAAGAATAATGACAATTCTTGATAAAAATACAGTTTGCATTCTATTAGCGGTCAAGCAGAATTGATAAAAACAAGTGGTCTAATATTTGATTCGCCATAAGATTTGTGATTTGTGTACACCAATTGTGTTCCGATATTGTAACAGCACACACAACGAAAGCAACAAAGCAAAAGCAACTAACGGATTATTTCAAATAAAATCAAAAATTAATATTCCTTATATAAACACAAACAGTCATAAGTAATAAGTTTTGGTTTGACTCATTTTTTTTCTTCTACGTTTGTAAACAAACTATTTATCATCATTAAAATACTTGTAATAAGCATGTATCGCACGAATATGATTAGAATTATGATGTTTTTGATTAAACAATCAATTTCCCTTATCAATTTTGGTTTTGCTATTGGATTTTTGATGAAAATGAAAAAAACCTCCGAAATTAGAATTCCTCGTCAATTAGAATTGCCCTCGGGACATTTCGATTCTAATTTACGAGGGCGTACTGTATTTTCATTTTTTCTCTCCGCCATTTTGGATGCGCTGGCATCGTCAATTCATCAAAGGGAAAAATTCATCTTTATAAGTTGATTTGTGACTTTCAATTTTTAATCAAAACTCTGACTAGCTTGAATAGTCACATTGATTTGTTGGACAAAAGGTAAACTTTGATTTTATTGCAATTTCCCATATATAATTTTGTACTTGGCATTTCCAATGAGAATCCGTACCAAAGACAGCTCTGAATTGCAGCACGATGAATGGTCAAAATGGACAGCCGCCTAATAGGGGCAGATCAATCAACATTCCACATCAAGAATCGATGTTTGTGAATTGGATGAAGTCAAATTGGAGGTCAAGAATGAACAGATGGATAAAGAGGTGGAAAAAAATTCAGCTCACTGTCATGAAAAAGAACGAGTCGGATTATCACCGCAAAGTGTTGCAAAGGATTTGCGGTCAAAAGGAAAGCAATCGAAATCGAAACCGAAACGAGGTCCACTTGGCGGTAAGAAGATTAAGAAAAACGTAGGTGCAGCAAGGAACAAATATAAGCCATGAACTGTGAGTAACTACGTGTACCTAGTGTCATGACTACGTGTACCTAGTGTCATTACTACGAACTCACATGAATTTTAAGTAATCTCTCGTAATCTCTAAATCTGGTTAAATTTCGTTAAATACAGTATTTGGAGAACGCTAGGAAGACCGTGTTAATAAATTGTTAAATTTCCACATTTTATAAATTCAAAATATGATATATTCATTGGACTAATAAATTGTAAAAAATACACATGAAAAAAATAAATTCATTTAATTTTTCGGTAGAAATCTAATGATAAACTTCAAACGTATTCCCTTTTGAATCTCAATGAACAAATCTCATTACTCCTGAAATGCATTGACACATTTGGTAACTTCGATCAACCAAATGAAATTGAATTTGCTTCGGTAGAAAATCGAATACTAAATGAATTTTCAATGTTATTGAAGCATTTATTTATTCTTAATATTATTTATTTTAATAAATATATTTAAAAAAAATGAATAACATTCTTATTAAATTTAAAAACTTTGTTTTTCTGTGTACGTACTTAACTCACATTAAGTACGAACCGCCATTGCTGTATATTGCTGTAGTGGCAGCCATTTTCCTTTTGACACATTGAAGATGTGATAATCATTGAAATAAAATAAAATAAATATAATAAACAAATCAAGTTGGAATACACA